GTTTATTGCTTCTGTATTGTTGTGATTATTACTTCAGGCGCAACAAGTGGTATCAGAACGAGGGTTATTTTGAGACATCGATACAGAAGTAACCCATGATAGAAGTAAATTCTGTTTGAGATCATGGAGGGTGATACAGGTTCCATGATAAAATTGATAGCATCGAATTATTCAATTTGGAAGCCTATGATGGAGGATCATCTATACTGTAAAGATTTCTATGAGCCAATATTGGGTGATTCGGCTAAACCAGCAGATATGAAAGATGAAAGCTGAAAGAAGCTAGGTAGAAAGACGCTGGCTACAATCAGAAAATGGGTTGATATCAGCGTGTTCCATCATGTAACGCAGGAGTCAGATGCTCACATTGTTTGAAAAAAATTGACAGCATTATATGAGAGAAAAATATGTATGAATAAAGTTATACTTGTTAAAAAGATTGCAACTTGTAAGTTTAAACATAGATCCAAGTCTAGAGGTAAAGTGAAGTGTTTCCATTATGGTAAGACGGGTCATATAAAACGAAACTGTAAAATCTTGAAGCAAGAGCAAAAAGATAAAAAGGCAAGAGTTCAAATGATAGTAATGTTGCAGTAGTGAATTCAGATAGTGATTTAGTTACTTTGATTTGTACACATGGTGATTGTAATCATGTTAGTGATCCCGGCATTGAGTGGATAGTTGACACAGGAGCGACATATCATTGTGTTTCTAAGAGAGAGTTGTTTACAACTTACAAAGCATGAGACTTTGGTTGTACCAAAATGAGAAATAAGAGTGTGTCGCAGATTATTGGGATTGGTGATATTGTTATACAAACTAGTACAGGCTGCATGTTGACTTTGAGGGATGTCAGACACATTCCAGATATGAGAATGAACTTGCTTGCTATTAATGTCCTTGATAAGGAGGGATATGAAAGTCGACAAAAGAATGGACAATGGAAGCTTCTCAAAGGATCATGGTAGTTGTAAGGGGAAAACTATGCTGCACAATGTATAAGACATGGATGCAATTGAATGGTAACCAGGTAAATACCGTTGAAAATGATGCTTCAGCAAACTTGTGGCACAAGGAGGCTGACACACATGAGTGAAAAGGGTTATAGGTTTTGGCAAGGCACTCTCTCATTCCCTTGACCAAAGGTATGTCTCTCGATTATTATTTATTTGGTAAGCATCATAGAGTTTCTTTTCGTAAAAGTTCTCAGAGAAAAGAAAATAGATTGGAATTAATTTATTCTGACGTATGTGGTCCCATTGAGGTTGAGTCATTAGGTAGTAGCGGATATTTTATTACTTTTATTGATGATGCTTCACGCAAGACTTGGGTGTATATGTTGAAATACAAAAGTCAGGTACTGTAGTATTTTTAAAAATTTAATGCCATGGTTGAAAGGATGACAGGGTTACCCTTGAAGTGTATTCGAACTAATAATGGTGGAGAATACACATCTAAAGGCTTTGAAGAGTATTGTTCAAAGCATGGGATCAGGCATGAGAGGACAGAACCTGAAACACCGTAACATAATGATATAGCTGAAAGAATGAATCGCACCATTGTGGAAAAAGTCAGATGTATGTTGAGGATGGCAAAATTACCAAAGCCATTCTGGGGTGAAGCAGTCAACACAACTTGTTATTTACTTAATAGGTCACCATCAGTTCCTTTGGGCTTTGACATTCCAGAAAGAGTGTGGACAGGGAAAGATACATCATACTCTTACTTGAAAGTTTTTGGGTGTAAAGCATTCATGCATGTGCCGAAAGAGTCGAGATCAAAGCTTGATAGTAAAGCTACATAGTGTGTGTTTGTAGGATATGGTGATGAGGAATTTGACTACAGGGTATAGGATCCAGTAAAGAGAAAGACAGTCAGAAGCAGGGATGTGGTCTTTCATGAAAAAGAAACCATAGCAGACTTTGAGAAAAATGAGAAGACTACACAGGTTACTGTTGAGTGTGATGTTTCAACACCGATAAAAAATTCACAGGAAAGAGCCACAGATGGTGAAAATGAGCAAGAAACAGAACTTGGGGATATGAATGAGCCAGCTACAGTTGGTGATGAGCCAGATGCTATTAGTTTTGAGCAGGGAGAGCAATCTTCTCTACCTGAGAGTGTTGAGCATGTGGAGCTACCTTCGACATCAAATGATGTAGAGTCTTAGCCCAAGAGATCTACTAGAGAGCGCAGGCCATCTATCAGGTATCCAAGTTCAGATTTTATTTTAGTTACCAGTGAAGGGGAGCCAGAAAGCTTTCAAGATGTGCAAGCTACTTCGGATAGAGAGCACTGGTTAAAAGCAATGAAAGAAGAGATGGAGTCATTACGAAAGAATGGTACTTATGATCTTATTAAACTTCCAACAGGGAAGAGGCCATTAAAGAATAAATGGGTGTTCAAGTTGAAAAAGGATGGTGACAAACTAGTGAGGTACAAAGCTCGATTGGTAGTAAAAGGTTTTTCTCAGAAACCAGGCATCGATTTTGATGAGATTTTTACTCCAATTGTAAAAATGAGTTCTATTCGAGTGGTACTGGGATTGGCAGCTAGTTTGAATCTTGAACTTGAGCAACTTGATGTTAAAACTGTATTTTTGCATGGTGATTTACAGGAGGACATTTATATGAATCAGCCTGAGGGTTTTGAAGTGAAAGGGAAGAGCACTTAGTTTGCAAATTGAAGAAAAACTTGTATGGCTTGAAACAAGCTCCGCGACAGTGGTACAAGAAGTTTGATTCTTTTATAGTGAGTCATAGCTATAAAAGAACAGCAGCAGATTCTTGTGTGTATGTTAAACAATTTCCTAATGGTAACTTCATTATCTTATTATTATATGTTGATGATATGTTAATTGTAGGACAAGATGCTAGTATGGTTTGTAGGTTGAAAGAACAATTGTCTAAGTCCTTTGATATGAAAGATTTAGGTCTAGCAAAGCAGATTCTTGGTATGAATATTATCCGAGATAGGAGAGCTGGAAAGCTGTGGTTGTCTCAGGAAAAGTATGTTGAACGAGTGCTTGGTAGATTCAACATGCAATATGCTAAATCAGTTAGCAGTTCACTTGCCAACCATTTTCATCTAAGTAAGAAATCTTATCCAGTGTCTAAGGAAGAACAACTAGCTATGTCTAGTATTCCTTATTCTTCTGCAGTCAGTTCTTTAATGTATCTTATGGTTTGTACAAGGTATGACATTGCTCATGCAGTTGGTGTAGTGAGCAAATTTTTTTCTAATCCAGGGAAGGTTCACTGGGAAGCAGTGAAATGGATTTTTAGATATTTGAGGGGTACCTCAAAAATGTGCTTGACTTATGGAGTTTCACAACCAGTTCTATAAGGGTTTACTGATGCTGACATGGCAGGCGATCTTGATGGTAGAAAATCTACTTCAGGGTATTTGTTCACTTTTGCAGGAGAAGCTGTATCTTGGCAATCTAAGTTGCAGAAGTGTGTTGCTTTGTCAACTACAGAGGCTGAGTATATTGCAGCAACTGAAGCATGTAAAGAAATGTTTTGGATGAAACGTTTTCTTCTTAAATTGGGGTTGAATCAGAAAGAGTATGTGGTATTTTGTGATAGCCAGAGTGCTTTAGATTTGAGTAAGAATATCATGTACCATGCTAGAACAAAGCACATTGATGTTAGATATCATTGGTTACGTTCAGTGATTGAAGAACAGCAGATGTTATTGAAGAAAGTCCATACTGATAAGAATGTAGCAGATATGTTGACTAAGATACTTCCCAGGAAAAAGCTTGAGCTTTGCAGTAACTTGGCCGGAATGAGTTCCCTGGCCAAGGTAAGTTCCAAATGAAACTGCTATGGTGATGAATCTCCTCCTAATGGGGCTGAAAGGGGAGATTGTTAGAAAAATGGGGTCTAGGCCCATGTAAGTGGTTTTGGACCAAGTAAAGGCCATGGGCCTTGATCTTTTATTTTACACAGAACCCTAGCTACTTAATAAAAAAGAGGTGGGGTTGTTTTAGGTGTGTGTCGAAAATCAAGCAGAGAAAGAAGAAAAGCCAGGAAAAGCAGAGAGAAAAAAAAGAGAAGGGAGAGTTGGTTGAACGGAAGTCGATCCGTGGTCCGATTGAGTTAGAAACCTTGTCAGGAGGTTTATGATTCAGAGTTCTACATTCTGAACGGTGAAGATCGGGTTTGAAGCTCTCTAGGAACAAATCCAGGGTGTATTTTTGAGTCACTTATTTGGTTGAGATTTCTCCAATTGTTTCTCTAGTTGTTGATTAGCTCTAGTTTTAGCTAGAGAAGAACTTTGTATAACTATTATTTGATAGTGAAGATTTTTTCTGGTGGCCCGTGGTTTTTTCCCTCTACACTGGAGGGTTTTTCACGTAAATCTTGGTGTGCTTTATTTTTCCTGCGTATTTGATTATTGATTGTTGTCTATTGCTTTTGTATTGTTGTGATTATTGCTTCAGGCGCAACAGAATGTATAAAGTATAAAGAGGAGTGTAAATAAAATCCCCGTTGAAAAAGGACACGAACTCCTCTTGTTTCAGATTCTTAAAGCCATGTCACCTAGATGTTGCCCCCTTTGACAGTTCTTCTAATCGTCATATCCTTTAGAACGTCATTCCATATAAAATATATGTTGAATTTTCCATGTGGACTAACATGCATGTGTCTATTCTAATAGTAGAATTTCATTAATTCCATCAACTAACTTGATTAATTACCAGAAATGGTGGGAACATTTCATTTGGTTGTTGCTCAAATATCAGCTGCCTAAAGAACAATAATTGTGTTAAATGATAACAAAAGGCACACGTTTGTTAAAGTAATAATAAAATGAATTTCACATCAATTCAATTTTGAATGTTTTGAACACAAATATAACAATTCACTTACAATGAATGTTTTAGATAAATCATTTAGATAAATATTTATTTTATAATTTAACAATTCACTTATAAAGAAGAAATTGAACATTGATAATGATAGAGAATTTGAAGGATCGATTGAGCAGTTCACTTGATTATCCTCAATAGATTTTAAAATATTTATATTGCCTGATACCATAGATATACTTTGATTTTATTGATTATACAATGGCACCATTAAAAACTTACAAGTAAAATAGAAATCCTTTCAGCTCTTGCTAATACAATAAATAGAAGGAAACACAGGACGATAATAAAGTGAAACGTAGAGGCAATATGAATTACCCTAGTGGGTTATTTTTGTAGTAGTCCACTGGTGCACTTTCTGCTTCAACAAACATTTCCAAATAACTATAATAGAGAGCTTCCTTAACAAATCTATCAAAATCATTGTAAGATGATCCGCCAACATCAGTAGCTGCTTCTGCTTTCTTCTTCCATTCCAAAGCCTTCTCCTTCATTTTCTTTCCTTTATCCCCTTCCATCATTTCCTTAACTAAAAACTCAATGTTCTCTCGCTTTACATCATGATCAACCTCCATGCCAACGCCCCAAGTGGTGCAAGCATACCGACAATTTGTTTGTTGATCAGCAAAAAATGGCCAACATATGACAGGGACTCCTCCACATATGGCTTCCAGGGTAGAATTCCACCCACAATGTGTTAGGAAAATACCAACTGAAGGATGTGAAAGAACCTGATATTGGGAGCACCAGGTTGTTATCAATCCTCTATCCTTAATCTCGTTGAAAAACTCTTCAGGCAGAACGGCGGAATCAGCCATCACAACATCAGGCCTAACGATCCATAAAAATGGGTGCTTACAATTAGCAAGCCCCCAGGCAAATTCTATCAGATGCTGCTCTGACATGACAGTTATACTGCCATAATTCACATACACAACTGAATTTGGTTCCCTTTTGTTAAGCCATTGAATACAATTTGTGTCTTCTTTCCATAGGCTTGAATTTATTGACTTTGATGGACTCTCAGGCATGTGCCTGGAAAGCAAGGGTATTGGCCCTGTTGTATAAATTCGAGGGAATTTGGCAGCGATTGCCTCTAGCACTTCATGTTCAAACTCATCAAATGTGTTGAAAATGATTGCTGGAGCTTTTAGGCAATTTCGTGCTTCTGATCCCATGAAATCAAACATAATATCGTCCGGATTGTTGGCTCTAATAAAGCTTGGAATATCTCTAAGGCGAATGTTGCTCATTCCAGGGATCCAATCTATTGGTGTTTCAAGAGTTCCATCACTAAGAAAGTTTTCATCTGACACAAGCAAGGGCGAAATCTCAGTCTTTATTAGGCAATTTTCATAGCTATAAATATATCAGAATTGCACAAATGAAGATCACTTACTATTAAAGTCAAAATAAAACTTACTTTCGAATGGAATAATGCCTCTTTCAAGTAGTTCGCTGAATTGCAGATATCCCATGAAGCTACAAGCTGAGGCAGTCCAAAATTGCACTTCTGGTATGCCAAGTACTTCAGCTGCCTTAATAGCAAAGCTCATAATTCCATCCGAAATTATACAAGTAACAGTCGGCAGTTGGGGTGAGGAATTTAACTTTGCTACTAGCTCTAAAAATGGAGCCAAACAATTCTTTCGTGTTGAATCACATAGAGCCGGAACATCCTGTGTTGCATCACGATCAGAGGGTGGCAGCCCATCTGGAATGGTTTCGAACCGGAAATCAGGCAGCCCTTTAACAGAGTCTGGACCTTTGGACCTGATCAATCGCCTATGGTTGAACTCAGTGTTAACAAAGGTTATATGGAAGCCTGTTGAGTGTAAGAGCTTAGCCAACTGCATCATTGGGCTGACATGGCCTTGTGCTGGAAATGGAACGCAAACAGCATGGGGTTTACTGGTTTCAACTGAACCCATCTTACCAAAGCAAGGAGACAATTGAAAAATCAAGGTCAGTACAGGGAAAAGTTTTCGTAGCTCGCTTTCGAAGTAGTAGGAAATAATTCAAAAGAAAATAAGGGAAAATGTCCTTTATGAAATAAACAAAGTTTTATTTTAAGGTTTATGATTGATTGGGTTATAATAAATATCTGTCTGATATTGACGACCGGATTTTCCCTTTCTTGTAGGAGATTTTAGATTTTAAATTAAATGAATTGCACCACACATCTATAACTTTTGAGTAATCTTTCATGCTCTTTATCAATCAATTATTATATCTCAATCGTTTAAAAATATGTTAAAGTTATCTATTTCATCAATTATTATCATTATAAATAATAAATATGGAGAGAGTCGTGCTTTCATAGTCAAACACTCAAATTAAAAGCGCATTGTATTCCTGTCTTTTTGCTCAATTTGTATGTCATAGTAGAAGAACTTCTTTTTTTTTTTTTTTGATTCATACTTCCAGTCAGTTCTTGGATATTAATTCTGAACTTTAAGGAAGAAAAATAAAAAGAAAAAAAATACAAAAAATGAAAGAGATAAGAACTGGGAAGGAAAGGCAGTGATATCTTCTAATCATAAATCCTTTAGAATGTCATTCCATATAAAAAAATACGTTGAATTTTCCTGGCATACCAATGTGGACTAAAACGCATATGTCTATTCTAATAGTATTAATCAGCACAGAATTTCATTAATTCCATTAACTAAATTGGGTAATTACCGGAAAAAGTGGCAACATTTCAATTGGTTACCTAACGAACAATAATTGAGTTAAATGATAACGAAAGTCTATTCCTATACTTAAAATTCATGTTAGTTGATCGTTTTTTTACATGAAGACAACGTTAAAGTTAATAATAATAGATTTCATAACAATTAAATTTTGAATATTTTAAAATATAAAAAAATTACTTTATAATAAATATTTAAAATTTAACAATTTACTTACAATCAAGAAATTGAACATTGATAATGATAGAATTTGGGCTGCCATTGCTAAGAAGGTGCAAGTGGCAGCCCTGGCGGCATCATGGTATTAAAAATATCTATAGAAATTTGTGGGTAAAAAGCCATCAAACTGATATATATTCATCATCGTATCTATATAAAATATGCATATAGAGAGAGAGAGAGAGAGAGTCACGCTTTCGTAGTCAAGACTCAATTACTAAAATTAAGAGCGCATCGTATTATTGTCTTTCAGTTCAAATTGTTTGTAATATTAGAACTAAAACCAAACAAGAGAAAAAAATTTGGAAAAAAAAAAAAAAAAAAAACTCCATAGAAGAGAAGGAATGATTTGTTCAAATTCCATATTTCCATAATTTATGCTTTTTTTTTTGTAAGTTTATGGCCTCAATAATAGAAAGTTAGAATATTGATTGAATGAAAATAGAAGTGCCACAACTAAAAAAAATTGAACCAAATAAAAGTTGGGCTGGTATATGATAATACATTTTCCTCATTATTCATGGAAAAAGAAAGAAGAAATGGCACATGAATATAACCAATTGGGAGGGGAGAGAAGGAAAGGAAAGGAAGTAGATAGAAGCCTTTTATGAGTTTGTATTTGATTCAACAAATAAAAGAATTTGGATGGTTTAAATGCTCACTTGGGCAAAGTTCAACTGCAAAGTCAAAAGTTTCCCATTATTTGTACAAAAGAAAAAAAAAAAAAAAAGGAATACATGACACAATAATGGAGCAAACTCCTAGAAAAGCTGAGGGAGGCAGATGCTTCTTGTATGAATGCATGCACATGCACTAAGAAAAAAAAAAAAAACCAAAGACATCTTAAAATAAAATGATTCCAATATTTTGCGGCCTCAATGCCATAATTCTTATACATTTACAATAGCCCCGTATGAATATAAAAACACAGGACCAATCACAGACATTTCATGTGATTTTCTTTTTTCTATGAGGAAGCAAGGTTGGTAAAATGAATGGCTTTGAATTATGTTTAGAACAATTAATGTTTAAAGTCAAGCAGAAAAAAAAAAATCTATAAGATCAATGAACAATCTTGCCTCGAATTCCAAGAATTGTGCTGAATCCCCTAATTAGCAGCAAAGAGAATAGAGTTTAAGAGTAGAAATTATCATAAAAGAAAGCAAATAAAGAAATGGCAACCTAACCAATGGGAGCAAAGTACAAAAACAACCAATGAAGTTTTTCCTTTATAAACAGATAAAACTTTGGAGCTTAATTCAAGTTAAATCGAGTTTAAAAGTTTGCTGTCTAGAAGAATTTCAAAAGAGGGAAATTAATTCATTCTGGAATTTTTATGACAATTCCAGTTCCAAACAAAATAGGTTGAATCCATCACTGCATTGCACCCTTTTCTCATGCATTTCTATCTAGGATGAGGAGTGGTAAGTCATCCTTGCAAAAATCCAAACAAAAACTTTCAATTCAATTCAGTTAATTTGAATTTATTCAAATCTGGTGGTGAATCATCACATCAAATGAATGTCGATCCGGAAAAAATTAAATCTCTGAATTTCAGCTGATTATTTAAAAGAATACTTAGCAAGAATGCACCTCACTCATCATATTGTCAAAGCCTACATTGACTTGTGAAAGAAGTGACTACACGTTTTCATTCACCTAGGTCTATAATACATCTAACAACCGAAACAGATGTCTTAGAAGTACTCGATGTACCTGCAAGGAAGCAATCAAGACCCTGAAACGCTCCTACAACAAAGGGGGAAAACATAAAAGAATAAGGGAGCACAAGAGAGGATACCTATTGGTCATGATGTTGGAATCAGAACATACCATCCCAATAAGGTTCTAAAGACAGTAAAACCGAACTTATAGTTGCTGCAGAACAAACAGCTAGCTTTTTCCCCTGTAGAATGGAAAAAGAAAATGGCATCACAGGTGAATAATAGATATAAACAACCATTAAAACCTCAAAATGAAGAAAAAGGATTCTTCACGATCCGTTGCAACCAAAGATAAAGAAATAGGTTTTATGAGTCAACAGAAAATGGGAAAACAAAAACAAAAGATCACATTGCATCCATTGTGGCCTGATTGGAACATGAAAGAACACAGAGTTTATTCTTAATCTCAAATAATAAATAAGTAGTATCTTACAGCAGCCTCTGCCTCATCCATTAATCTCAAAACTCCAGGTCTAGGTTCCACCTGATCAAAACAATACCAGTATAATATTCTAAACAGCTTCATATTGAAAAATAATGGACATCAGAATCAATGAAAATAAGAAAAAAGTTACAATGCAGTAAACATAATGTCAGCTTACAGTTCCAGATTTGATTATTTTTTTGTACCTTTCAGACTCCAATCCTGCAAAGATGTAACAGTATCACATATATAAGCTCTTTAGTAAATAAAATTCCACAGAAAATAACATAATTTATCGTTTCACATAATTAAAAAAAAAAGAAAAGAATAAGATAGTTCCTCAACAATGATCACATTAAAGCATAATTGGCTTTCTATTCCTTTTCCCCCCAACTTTATACATTCACTTAATTCAAAAGAAAAAAGATTTAATTTCCACTATATTGCATTGAAATAATAATAATAACAATGGTCTACATTTGATACATTATCAATATATAATTCTTCAATTTATCGATGAACTACAACATATTATCTCGTCAAAATCAAAGTAGATTAAACAAAATTAGAAAAAAAAATATCAGACGGCGAGCAGTGATTCATTGACAGTCAGTCACTACATCAAAAGTATAACCTTAATAATAATACCTGAAGAGTGTCAATTAACTTAGCTCCCTCCTCATCACCCTCAGGCGGCGTCTAAAATATGGTAGAAGATGGCCATCCATGTTCTTTGAAGTACCTTCAAAAGCACCAAAAATCTTCATTAAATCGATCAACAACTAAAATTAAAAAAAAAAAATAAAATAAAATAAAAGAAACCCAAAAATATTAAAAGCAAAAGACGTACCATCTCATCTTGGGTTTGCCACCACAAATTTAGTTCTGGAGCACATAATAAAAATCAGGGTCCCAGATAAGAGGCTGTGAAGGAGGGCAACGAACATTGAAGTGAGAGAAAGCATCGTTGTAAGCTTGGCGGTACAAGTGTTGGGATTCTAGAATGACTCCATCGCAGTCGAAAATGAGAGCTTGAAGAGAATGGGAAGCTGATACAGAAACTGAGAGTTGTCTTGGTTTTGTCGTGTTTGTTAAGGAAAGTGATGATGGCTCTTTGGTTTGAAAAGTAGGGGATTGAGGAGAGTAATAAAACAGTGAAGAGAATTTAGGAGAGAGATTTGGAGGAGGCGAAAGGAGTTTGCAGTGAACGGCCATGGCCTTGCTTGAGTGGTTGATGTAAAGTAGAGAGGATGGCCTTTGAGTTGAGGTAAAACTTGGCGGGTTTGGTTCGTGTGGCTGTGGATTCAAATGATCACGTTCAATGAAGGAAACCGCTACCATTTGGACTTATTATATAGTCGGTGAAAGTTTGACACAAATCAGACGCAAATTTTTTGGGGCACCATTTGTTTTTTTTTCCCGTTCGAAACCTAATGTAACTTTACTTGTCTACCATTCGTGGGTTAAATTTCTTCATTGATTCCTTTGTATTGGACGAAAGAGATAAAAGAAAGCATCAAATATTAAGATTGTTTATGCACTATTCTAAACCTGATGATGATGGCTTATCTGGCAAAATTTTTCGGCAATCAAATATTTCAAGGAAGGAAGTTCCACGATAGGAACTCCAGATTTAAGGCTCAGCTAACTGATACACATTCCTTGTTCCACCCACATTCTGTAGAAACTCCAAAAATTCCCCATCTCTGTCACTATAATCATTCGTCTTGAAGTTGAAACAAGGGGTTAGAAATAGCAATGACAGCATCATTGATAGCCATAGAAAGGAGGGAAAATGAGATGAATAATCTACTTCATCAATTGTGCAAAAGTACAGTATCAACATTTTGCCATTTTACATATCCTATTATACGGTTGTGCCCCCACCATCAGACATAAGAGATGCAGCAGCTGCAGCAGCCGTAGGGACAACACCAGTTGAAACACCTGGCTTTGACAAATGCGGCAGCCTGTAAAATAAAGCACCACAAGCTTGTGTGAGTTAGATATAATGCAACAAAAGAAGTTGACAGAGTCTAGAATCAGTCAGTTTGATCACCGATTTATTCTGCCAACTCAGTTTCTTCAATCAGGACCCAACAAATACTAGATCCTATGGTCCAGAAGGTGAATAGGTAATTATAACCGTATATAAGAGGAAATATTTATCTATTATAAACACTAGAAACAGATTTTCCTGTATAGCTCAATTGGAATGATACTTTATAGCCATGATTATCCAATCATCAGGAACACAAGAATAAACTAGTGTGGCAGTTTCTAAGCATAGGCTAGAATTTGATTAGACAAATTCTGCACTAACCATGCGTCTCAAGAAGCCAGATAAAACTCTTACGGTGCAAGATATTCACAGAACGAAGACACAGCAGAAACAACTTCATTATAATTTCCAGATGTTGCAGAGGCAGTCACTTCTACCAGCTGTATACCACGTGTTACCGCCACGGCCTCATCTGTTGCATGCAGTTTTAGCATCTTAATTAACCGATGATACAGTTATGGTTATCTGAGCACCCCTTTGGAAATAAAAGGTAAATCCCACTCTCAGCAGCTCATGATCCAACTTGTACCCCAGTGCATAAAATAATCGAAGCACATTCTTGCTTGCTTTGCTTTCTACCATACTCCTAACCAGAACAGAAATTTGCTCTGCCCCAGCACCCCTCATTGCACCCCAACATGTTTAACATTCCTACAAACAATGTGTAAGGCTTTAATAAACATCCAAAATAACAATAAAATACTTAGCATTAGCAAGGCAGAACCTAACAACTGGATCGATAGATTTATTACTATTCCTATATTACAAATAAACCCACCTTAGAAATTGGGAAAAAAAAAGTTCATGAATTAGTACATGATCGCCCAGGAAACTCATTCACAACTTTAGCCCAGCAGGGAAAAATGCTTATATCACCCTACACTTGATAGACTTGTAAACATAACTAGAGCTTTTGCAGAGTGAAAATGTGAAGACATACCAAGATTTGGACCTCTTTTAAGGCAAATTTCATGGACCCTTAAGCGTTCTTTATGAACCCCACAAAGACCCTGAAGTAGAATTTCGAGTGCCTCAACATACTGCAAATCTCAAAAACAACAACACAATCTTCTTAACGCAATCCCCAAAGTTGGTAAATTTCTTGAAGAAAAAGAAAAGAAAAGAATGGTTTTGGATGTGAATTTTTTACCTGTGTCTCTATAATTCCTTGAACAAGGCACTCCATTTTTACAACTTTTTATTCAAGTTTTATTGATTTTAAACGCCGAAATGCAACTGGTAACTGGTATTGGTAAAGCTCACTGCAAAAAAACTTGCTCTCCGCTCTGGTTTGACCGTTTGAGTTCAGTTTGTTGAACATACATCGACTTCGGCTAGTTTGTGCCGTCACCCGACCCCAAGACAAAGTCTGGGCTGAAACTTGAAAAGGTTTTCGAAATTGTGTTCCTTGGCCTTTCTTACATTTTTTTTTTTTTACAATAGATTGTTGTTAATTAATCACAAGATTGCTAACAGATAGAGTATAATGTTTTTAATTCCAATAATTAGGATTTAGTTTTTAATAATTTTAAATACAAAAAATTAATTTTAAAACTAAAATTTCAATAAATCAATAAAAAAAAAAAAACAAAATCACATCATATTCGAGTGCTTGAATTGAAAATAATAACACGTAAAGTGTGTTTGGATTAAAAAACAAATAAATTTTGAATGGATTAAAAAATTTTACTCATTTAATTAAACATTTAGTAATATTTGAAGAAATAAAAATCAAATACAAAAAATAAGTTTTGGTGCTAATAATTTTATGATTTGTTGATAGAATATTGAACTATTAATTTTAATTATTAAGATTTAAATCTTAATAGTCTTAATTAATAAATAAAAAATAAGTTTTGGTAGGTATAAAGTATCAACTGATGAATCATGTTGCTTTTAATGTTTGTATGTTGAAGATAGGAGAACATGGTTGGGTGAGGGGGGATGTTGCAATAAGAGAGAAAAGTTTATTGAAAGAATGTTTAATGGATAAAAGTGTTTGAGATCAAATGGCAAAAGCTTTCTACTTCCAGAGGGAGGAAAGTAAGTGTTCATGTTGTTATGGGAGACAGCTACCATGGAATTCTGGAACCAACGAACTTTCAAAGTTGTATCCCAACCAAACCCTCAACTTCAATAGTCAACATGTAATTTACTCTTTACTCTTTAGATATTTTTAATAAAATGACAGTTCAATTCTTTTTATTTAGACCGTTTCAGTTTAGTCAAATATAAAACATTACGTAGAATTAGGGTATAAATTATATATTAGTATTCGTAAATTATTTGAGTTCGATTTTAATAAAATTCAAATTTGATTCGATTATTATTAAATCAAGCTTGAATTTGAGTAGATTGATTCATCGATTAAACCAATTTCGAACATTCTTATACTGAATTCGAGTAATTTGTGAATCTAATCAAACTTTTAGATTTAAATATATTTTTATTATTTTAATTAATAAAATATATCGAGCTAGAGCTCGAATATAAATAATCGAACTTTTATCAAATATAAAAATTAAATTTATTTTTTTGTGTTAATCGAACGTAATCGATCGAGCTCGAGTAACTCGATTTCTATATCGAGTTAACTTTGAATTAAAAAAATAAAATTTGATGGAATTCGAGTCGAATTTCGAATTTCAAATCAAATTTAATACTGTATCAATTCAAAATTGATCGATTAAATTTTTATGTAAAATATTTTATGTTAAATTCATTGGATTATTTTTTAATTGAAGTCGTGATGTATATGTTTAAATTATTGAATAAGTTTTTCTAACTTGTGCTCTGTTAAGATTTATTGTTAACTATTTTTATATATAAAATTATTAAAATTAAAACTTAACATTTTCTTGATACACGTTGCGTGGTTATTTAAAAAAAATTTAAAATTAACGCAATTGTTTTTAATTATTGAGAAATACGATCTAGAAGAGTTTTCATTCCTAATTATACTCTCGTAAACTTTTTAATTATTTATTTAATTATTTAGTAAAAATATTAATTTGAAAATAAAAAATTTTAAAATTTAAATTTGTTGAATATTATTTTTTAAAAATAATTTTATAAAGCAATTAGACTAAATTTTAAATTTAATTTAATTTTTTAATTTCATGGGGCATGTATGACACTTCTAAATGGATACTATGATACTATATACAACATAATAAACATATGAATTTTTATTTAGTGATTAATACTTCCTCCGTCTCATTTTTTTGGGATATCCCAAAATTATGACATTATTATTTTTAAATATCTAAAACTCTTTTTTTATATTTTAAAATTATTTTTATGATTTTTTTTACTTTTTAACATTAAAAATGATGAAACTTTAATGTTATAAAAAAAATTTAATTTTAATATTAAATATATTAAAAATATATATTTTTTTAAAACTTCATAAAAATCAATACAAAACAAACAAATTAGGACGGAAGGAATATATATTTTTAATACAATAAAAGATTGAAATTTGAGGGATAAAAAATTGCAACTGTTGGGATCTAACTGTAAAAATCTATCTCTTTAAAAAAACTAACCATCTAAGTTAAGTCTCAAAATATATATATATATATATATATATATATATATATATATACATCTCATGTTTATTAAAAAAAGCTTAGTAAAATATTTTTTAATTAAAAAAAAAAAATAAAGAAGCCATATCATAAGGTTTGGGAACAGGTGTAATTAAGGTGTGATTTTAATAGAAGACAAATAGACCAGTCATTAAATGCTGAAACAAAATTACAAAAAACAGAGGGGGCCTACGCAGCAGACAAACACAAAACCGATCTAACACCAAAGTCGTTGCCCTGTTGGCACTAAGATCTCTACTAGAGTTTAGTGGCGTATCTATCTGTACGGATGCACTTCATTTCGACTTTTGGATTTTGCGTGAACTGCCCTCCCTGTCGTTACAAATGTTTCTGTTATAATGCTTTGATTTGATTACTCCTTTGATTGTTTTCTTTTTCCTTTTTTTTTTTTTCCAACATATTAATGCTATCATTGTATTTGGGGACAATTGACAAATGTATGTAAGGTTTTTTTTGAGATTTTAGTTAATTGATGGGGTTTGAGAGAGAAAGAAAATTGGGGTGGGGGGTGGAGAGGGAGAGAAGAATGAAAATCCCGAGAAAATAAGAGGAAAATGTCAAGAAAATCAAAACCTTCAGGAGACACAATGACAAAGAAAGCAGTTAATGCAGAAAAAATAATGTACTAATAATCCATTCAAAAGTAAAGATGATAATTCAGATATTTAAATTTGTTTATTTCATATTAATATATATAAATTACAAAAGTTATAGTATACATTAAACATAAAACATATTTATATTTATTTTTGTTAAAATCATATAAATTTTTATTAAAATTTTAGATGATATCGTTTCTGTATATTCTTCTATACCATTTTCATATCACATATTTAAAATTGTAAGATATTCAAAGGGAGGAAAAGAATCCAGAAAAAAACTCACGGGTAGTGTTGCGAGTTGCAACTCTCTGTACATTAATATAAGATTTTAATGTATACATTTAATGCTGAAAATCTGCAAAGAATCACAGGAACCCACCAAACCCTGCCCCTATTAAACAATTTCCTATTAGATACTAAAAAGAACAAGGAAAAAAAGGGTTTACAATAATTCAAAAGCTCAAACCAATGAACACTAATTTCAAACCTATATAAAGATTTGATCTTTTTTAAGGGTTGTAAAAGTGATCACTACATCGGCATTTCCAACCAAGAGGCTTGTAATTGGAGTATTGATTAGTGATTGCTTTGCTCAAACCTGGTTGAAATCGGTGGTGGCTCGGTAATGTAGGTACTTGGACTGCCATGCAAGGGTGACATCCGTTGCATTTGTTATGGCAACTTGGAGGAGTTGATCCCAACCTTGTTTTCTCCTCAAAAAATAAACCCTGTTGAAAACCCAATATCACCATTATCAAATCCATCAGAGAGAACATGTATATATATGGGAAAGAAGGAGAGAGCTGGGGCTTGAATGCTAACCCGATCAGGGGAACTTGGAGGCTCCAGCTGGCGAAGGGAAGAGGCTGGAGAAAGAAGAAGAAGAAGAAGAAAGCAAAGGGTAACAACTAAGGTAGAGCGGCAAAGGAGGGAAGAAATAAGTGAACTCATAATGATAATGAAAGGATTTCATGCAACAATGAAGTTAGTACTGCTAATATGAGTATTGGAACCAAGAAAGAAACTAAAAAGATGGAAATATCAATGGAACTATAACTGCAAGTACCCCTGCTGCAAAGGCAAGGGAAAGAGCCAAAAAAAAACCACAGCGAGAAAGAGAAGAAACTGATGAGTAGAGTGAGAATGAAGGAAGAGAAGGGGTTAATAAATTGGGGTATGTGGTGGTGGGTGCTGGTCTGACCTCAAAGTGTAAAAGAGAAAGAAAAGGGCAGTGGCAGAAGAGTGAAAGGAACAGTACAGAACAGGCAAACAAATTGGGAGAATCCACATCAGAAAGGATGAGGACCCAATAGGCCTATTTTTATCTTTTACTTGATTGGGGTCTTGAGGACGGGCCTAGCTAATTGTAGCTGTTAAGAAAGCGAAAGGATCCTTCATCCATGTGTCTGAGTTAGGGTGAAAATTGAAAGAGAAAGTTGCGGGAGGCAGTGGTTAATTTTCAGCATTTAATGACTGCTGACTCACTTTTGATTTCCCCAGTGTGCTTCAAAATTTTAGATTATGGGGGTTTGACTGCGACTTGTTGAATCTTTCATTTTCACAATGTGGAATGTTAATGAAATTAAATTGAAAATGAAAAAAAGTTCCAATTATCCATTATCAAACAAGACAATCAAGCAGTTCTCACAATTCATAATGAATGCATATAATAGGCTTTCCCTCGAAAATTTTACCAAATAAAACAGAGGATAATTTATACTCTACAGGCTACAGTTGATTTTTGTATTTGTTTTCGAATTCGAACAATTTACCACTTTGAAGAGGTTTATACTCTACAGTCACTGCAATAGAATGAACATAAGATGCATACAATAGGCTTTCCTGACTTCTATGTTCTTGTCTTTAGGATGAATAAAAGCTCTCATAGTCACTGAAGACAAAGAAATTAAAGAAAAATGTAGTAGTGCCAATAAGCTTTATTTTTTATAAAAATGGCACCAAGTTTTTTATCAGAAAAAAAAAATTGGTTCATCTCTCTTGACCTTGAAAATTAGGTGCTTGACAGTTACCTTCAAGAGCAGCACTCAAGAACCTGTAAGGAAAGTAGCAAAAACACAAATGCACGCATAAGAAGATAACATTATGTCAAACTCTTGGGAGTTTTACATAGTAATTTTGTTTCTTATATACTTGATAGCTCGTAGTTGATATAAATATGCCTCAAATCTATTCATCTACACCATAGACTTTAGTCGGCATGGCCAGGCTTGCACCTGAGCCGCATGGCGCCATATACAACCTGGCCATTTCATCCAGCTACTACACAAAATTCCTACAAACAGAGAATGATAATCTTGTTAACCAAGTAAAACCAAGAAAGATGTTTTTATAAAAAAATGAAAAAAGAGATATTCTTTTAGGAGGATTCAGATCACAGAACAAATTATCTAGTTTCGTGACTAGATAAGTGCCAGCCAGAGCAACGCGTGATACTCATAAAAGTGGCAGATAGTAGCCTGCCTGGCTTGCTCTGGCTGAGTTTCCAAGTACTCTACACATGCAGGGGGGCCTGACCCCTGTGAATTTATTTTTTTTCAGCACTTTCCTATCTCTACGTTTCCTGATTTGTCATTGTGATTTTTCCTTTTAATCAGATTTCCTCATTAGTCAATCTGCAGCGAACAGTAACGTAACATATCCCCTCAACATAACTCTCTCTTGCTTGTTTTATGTAGTGTTAAAACTTAAATTACTAAAGAGAAGAAAAGAAAGATATTGGCAGTTGGCAGATAAGTATTCTTTCGCTTTTGAGGTTAAATGCTTTTTCCAGCTTATCATCAGAAAACTGTGAAAAGTAAAAACATACTCTAGACCCTTTTAACTTGTTTTCATATCACTGGTTAATTCACTTGCCATTATCACAACAAAATTCCCATGCAGATGAAGCTCAAACTCTTCATTACTATATTCTACTATACTCTCTGTCTGCCATTATTTTAAAAATAAAAAGTTTAAGGTTTTTGATGCCTGAAGATTATATTTTGCTAGGCCATTTATAATGTACTGTACATAAGTTTACGGTTCATGAAAATTTGGGTTAAAATTTTTTAGGGTTGATTTGGGAGCCACCAAGCCCAATTGGTGGCTCCCATCGAATGGGAAGATGCATTTTATGATTGGATTCATCCAGCTATAAACATTCAATAATAAAACATGCTTTTTATGGAAACCATCCAATCAAACTGCAGTTAATCAAAGGTTGTTTTGAGTGTATTTTAAGTCCTAGTAACTATAACAATAAAGAGTTTCCCTTTGATGTTGAAAGAAAACTAAAAATTATCCATAAAAAAAAAAAAAAAACTATAGTAGGAGTAGTATTTTGAGGATGAAAAGGAAAAGCTGATGATCAATGTGCAACTGCTGGTTGCTGGGCTGTCCGCAGCTGCAGAAGACTTGTCATACGGAGGGTACGTATAAAAGTCGATGGTACAAAGTGGTTCACATGTATTCAGATGATCAGATAGATTCAACGGCGTTGATTTCCCCGATGCCAAGCCATTTTTTATTTTCGTGTGTGTGTGCCTGGCGTGTTGGGCTTTAATTCTTTGAACAAAATTTGCCTTTATTCATTTTCACTCTAATTGTTACTTTTTTCCGAATTATTTAGTACTTTTCTACGAGGGATATTTAGTGATTAAAAGAGTACAATGATTTTTTTTTTTGTTAGAAGCTTTCAACAAACAATCAAAAATAATTTCAACTTTTGTACCGACTTGATATATCAAGTCGGTCTAACACACTCAGTGTCATATTAGTTCGGTACTGTTTTTATTGTCCCCTAATGATTCTCTATTGCTCATCTATATATATAAAGGTCTAGGCACCCTTAAGAGAGGTTCATCTTACCCTTAATCCTATTTATTACTCTACTTCCGACCTCACTTGTTTTGACTTACACGTCTGTGTGCAAACGCAAGAAACTCTCCCTACATTTGCCTTCTAACCGTCATTCTCTTTTTTTTTTCCAAGAATACCCTTGAGATCGGAGCTCAACACAAATATTTGGTGCACCAGGTAAGAGCCTTCCCATTCCCTAGCCGAGTACGAAACAATGCCACTAAGGAAGAGAACTTTAGAGGAAGGAGAGACAGCCATCCTAGCTAGAACAGAAACACATAATAGTCAACACTCAGAATGACCTGTTCCACTGCAGACAGGCTTGACCATGGAACAATTTCCAACCTTAATCGAGCAAATACAGGCCTTTAAACAAATATTGCAGACCATAATCCTATCACAAGTTTTGAAAGTGCCTGACTTAATCACCCATGGTCGAAAAGCTGTGATAAGACAATCAAGCTGTGAAGAGATGGAAGCCTTTTAGCCTCTAGAGAAGAGAAGCATAACACTCCAATTCGCCATTACCTAAGCCATAACTTGACACATGCCACAACCCAAAAATCCAAATAAACAAAGCCTGAACCCTAACCAAATAAAGACCTAAAAGTTCGAATGTAGGCCATGGAGAAAAAACTAAAAACAAAAGCAGTGGCATTCGAGGATGAGCTTAAGTTCCTAGAAATCTCATCCTTTACTAAAGAAATCAATAGAGCCATGCATCCCAAAGGATTTAAAATGCCAACAGTGAAAACCTACGATGGTACTTCTGACCCTTTGATCATTTAGAGCTTTATAGGACTAATATGATGATATAGAGTGCAGATGAAGCTCTAATGTGCAAAAGCCTAGCTACCACTTTAAAGGAGCAGCTCGATCCTAGTACAGCAGTCTAGAATCGAGGTCAATTACAACATTCAAAAAGTTTAGGTATTTTTTTTTCTTGATTTATGAGTAGTTAAAGAGCGAAAAAAATAACTCTAAGTCTGATGTCGATCCATCAAGGTCGTAATGAACCATTGAAGAGCTATGTCACGTATTTTAATGCAAAAACTCTACTGGTTAAAGACTTAGAGCAAATGGCGCTATAGTCACCTTGACAAGTGGACTCAATGACAAAAAGTACCACTTGAAGTTAACCTTATCTTTAGAACCACTTAAAACTTTGACCGACGTCCTATTGATAGCTGAAAAATATATAAATTTTGAAGCTACAATGAGAAACAACCAAGGTGAGAAAGGCTCATCCCTTTTCTTCAGTCTTAAAAAAGGCAAAGATTTTTAAGATTCTCTTTCAATAAGGAGATGACATAGGGCTAAAAGCCCCAATGGAGAAAGGAACTATATTATACTAAATACCTCACGAGAAAGGATTCTGATACAAATTGAAAGAAATCCTGACCTTAAATGGTTGAAACCACTAAGACAGAACACAAAGAGGGATTCGACCAAAAGATGTGCCTTTCATAAAGACATAGGCCACAATATCGAAGATTGGGTTGACCTAAAAAACAAGATCAAAGCTCTGATAAAAAGAGGTCAATTGAGGAGATTTATAGAACAGCAAAGAAAAGGCTAACCTAGAATGAACTACAGACAAAATCGAAGAGAGCTCACTTAGGGCGAAGAAGAAATACCAAAAAATGAAAGAAAAGAAGTTTGAAGAGATGAGTTGAGATAAGAAAAAGTTTGAATAGACAACAACAGGTCGATCGTAGTGGTGATTAATGTGATCACCAGAGATAGCTCAACCTTGACCAAGAGAAAGTTCAATCTAGGCATGATCATGATTGTAGGCACCTCGATAATGAGAAAAAAAGATTGAAAAGATGAATCGATTTCATTCAACTCAGAAGACTTGAAAGGATCCAACATGCACATAATGATGCTATAGTGATCATAGTCATAGTGTACAACTATATAGTCAAAAGAATTCTGTTTGATAATGAAGCTCAATCTACGTCATGTATTATAGCACTATGAAAAAAATGAGAATCGGTGAAGATTAGTTATAGTCGATCACCACAACACTAGTGAGATTTGAAAATGAATAGGTACCAATAAAAAGAACCATAAAGCTATCGATTTCATTG